TTAAAGAGTATCGGTCCAAGGACCGAGCCCTGCGGGACCCCACTGCCCACACCCTTCCAGGTCGAAGCCGACCCATCCACCACAACTCTTTGGGTGCGACCCTGTAGCCAATTCGCCACCCACTGGACTGTGTAGTCATCCACGTCACAGCCTCTTAACTTGTTCACCAGTATGGGGTGGGATACCGTATCGAAGGCCTTCCTGAAGTCTAAGTATACGACATCCACCCCTCCTCCTGTGTCCAGGCATTTCGTAACCTGGTCATAAAAAGAGACCTTCCTTCCTTCCTTCCTTCCCTGTTCGCACCTGACACTAGCCACATCGTGGGTCCTGCACAGAGGTTGGACTCAGGGCTGGTTCGACCGCTCTGGAGGGCCCGGCCCTTCCTGGGCCCGATGTCTCCACGCCTTCAGGCGGCTCGTGGTGCCCTGGGCCTGTCAGCAAAACAGCCGAGCGCCAAACGTCCGCTCCTGATGGAAGTCGGAGGCAACGGCCTTTCCCTGCAGCGTAGTTAATCCCGGCAGCCCTCCTCCCCTTCCCTGCTTAACCCGGGAATTAATAACTTGATTCTCCATCCCTGAGTGGGGGTTTAGAAGAGCAATAATCCCCTCCAAATTGGGCTTTGCTGCTGTTCCCCTTCTGGCCCCCGTCGCCAACATCTCACCTCTCTGCACTGCTTCCTTTCCTGGCCTGGTCGTTCCCACCTGTGCCCCTCCTGTCCTGGTGCCTGGCCTTTTCTGAGGGCGTCCATGTGGAGGGGATGGAGGGCAGCCGTCTGCAGGTCCCATCCCAGCCGTGCTCCCCTCACCTCCTGCCGGGAGCGACCAGAGCCAAGCAGCCGACTCGGGCGGTGGGGGGCATTTCTGCATCCGTGTTGATTCTCGGTGCGTTTCGTGGGGCCCGGGAGCCTTCTCCGTCTGGAGATGACGGGAGATTGGCCCTCTCGGGGAGTAGTGGGGTTGGCGGTTGTGTCCGACGCCCTCTTTTTTTTTTGCTGTGAAACCGCATGGGGCTGGCGCGGTTCTGCGTAGCCCCGTTGGCTGGATGCACCCGATGGGGCAAGGCTTGCTGGGGCCTGTGCGCTGCATGTCTTCTTCAGTCCCTGGGTGTGTTTCCACTGTGCTGACCCTCGGTGAAGCCGGACGGGAGAGTGGAGGGGCTCAGACGCGCTCCCCAGCCCTGCCACTGCCTTGGTGTGAGACCTTGGGCACCTCATATTCTGAACAGGGAATTGGGATTTCCACGAGGCTGTAGTAGCAAGAGCAGTGCCTAGTAGCACCCCAGGGGTTGTGAATGGGGAGGGAACGTGGGCCTGGCGGCAGTGGGCATCTCTCGAGCTGTTCTCTTTGCTGGCGGCAGTAGTAGGCTTTTATCTTTACCCAAATGCAAGCTCGGTAAATGCCTGGCTGGTATTCCTACCCCGCAGCTGGCTGCCTAGACCCAAGCCCCGTGCCCAGATGCCGTGCAGATGGGCTGAGCGTGAGCGGGGGGAAAGCACTAGCGTCTGTCATTGTCAGCCCCGTCTGCCTGTTCCGGTCGTTGTGGGAAAGGGGGTCCTGTGGAAATGGGGGCAGCCCTGCAGTTGTCTGAAGGCAGGGCGAGTCGGAGGGAGCAACTGGGTGACGGGGGCATGAATTTGGGGTCCTGCATCCTCCCGGCTGTCTGAGCGCCCAGATCTGCTCCTGGGCATTTGGAGCCGCAGCCCAGCCAGACCCAGGGAGCTCCGGCCCTGAGACGACCGCCTGGGGACAGGGCTGTGAAGCAGCACCTTCAGAGCGAACAGGGGCTGAAGCCCTCCCTGGGCCAGACCCCACCAGCCGGGCCCTGGGCTCAGAGAGGGGACCAGCCCCATGGGATCTCCTGGCAGCTTGGGGTCTCGCCTGCCTTGGCTGTTTTTTGCGGGTTTTTTTAATAGATTCCCACCCCCCACCAAGCTGTCCCTCTGCCCCTGCCCCATCCCGTGTGGCCTGATGGTCCCTGACCCCCGCCCGCCCCTCCTGTCTTGCAGAAGATGCTGATGAAGCAGCAGGACCGGCTGGAGGAGCGGGAGCAGGACATCGAGGAGCAGCTCTACAAGCTGGAGTCCGACAAGCGGCTGGTCGAGGTAGGCGGTGCTGGGTTGTTGCCCGGGGCTCAGGTGTTGGCAGCGGGGCCGGGCTGTTGCTGGGCTGGTACCTCTCACGTGCCGGTGCTCCAGTACTTCAGGGGGCAAGGGAGCGGGGGCTGTTTGGTATGAGAGGTTGTGGCCGGACCTGGGTTTCCCAGCCACATCCTGGGTGGTCCAAAGGCTCCCACCATGTCTGCTAGGATCATGAAGCCTCCCTGGCAGAGGAAGGGGTGCGGGGGTGGGTGCACTGTGACCTGAGGATGTCTACAACACCCAGGAGCTGGGAGATCCAGGAAGATGGGCATCGGGAAGGGGAGATGCACCTCTGCACGGTGGAGCTGGGTGACCGGGTGCAGAAGCAGCCCCGTGGATCCAGTGAGATCCACCCAGACCCAGGGAGATCCGTTCTCCCTGCAGAGCCTCCATGCCGGCTGGACTGCGCAGGGAAGGGGGGGATTGCAGCAAGTATGGACATCCCCGTGCTGGCCTGGCCCAGCTAGCCCCAGCCACAGTGCCAGGGACATAAGGACCTTGGCTCCGACTCTGGGTCAAAGTCCTCTCCATTGCTGTTGCTCCCCTGTGAGCTGGACCAAGCCAGTGCAGGCTCGTGGCCGGCAATGCCTTCCTTCTACGAAGCAGACACTTTTGCTAGGGCTCAACCCAGGAGTCCTGGCGCCGAGGGGCAAGGCTGGCTTCTACCAGCATCCTCACTGGCAAATAAATAGAGAGAAAAGCCAAGGGGCTGGGTGGGGGCAGAGCCAGGAGTGCTGCAGGGCGTGGGGAGGCGGGCAGGCAGGGCCTGGCAGTGCTGACCCTGGCATCCCCGCAGGAGAAGGTGAGCCAGCTGAAGGACGAGGTGCGCCTGCAGTACGAGAAGATGCACCAGATCCTGGACGAGGACCTGCGCAAGACCATGGAGATCCTGGACAAGGCCCAGGCCAAGTTCTGCACCGAGAACGCGGCCCAGGTGCTGCACCTCAACGAGCGCATGCAGGAGGCCAAGAAGCTGCTCAGCTCCGTCCAGGTCATGTTCGACAAGACCGAGGACATCAACTTTATGAAGGTGAGGCCGGGTGGGCGCTGGGCCGTGCATGCAGGAGGGATGGGGCAGCGGGTGCAGGGTGGGTGGGAGCTGCTTCGGTGCCATGGGGGTCCCGGCTGTGCGCGCTCCTGGTCTGGGTCCCTGGTGTCTGCTGGACTTGGACCTCTTCTGTGACGGCGTGAGCAGAGCCATGGGGCTCTGGAGGGGGGTTGCCGCTCTCCCCAGGACCCTGGACTCTCGCTGGGGCGGTGAGTGACGGGGTGGGCAAGGGGCTGGCACCAGTGCCACGGTGGCCCCTTCAGCTTGCAGCTCCTCACCCCAAGCTCAGGGGCCAGGAGGCAACATCCACCCTTCCCTCGGTGGATCATCCCCCTTGCTCCCAGGGCTGCCAAAGCGATTGGGCTGGGAGACATGGGGGCCAGAGGTCTCTGGGGTGTCGGGAGGGTCGTGCGTGGGTTCTTGCTCGGGATGGACGGGCTGCTGCGCTGTCCAGGGGCAGGTTTGTGGGGGCAAAACCACACAGGGGGACATGCAGCATCTGAGAGCCCCCCTAGCCGGTGGTCCGGGCTCCAGGAAAGGGGAAGAAGTCCTGCCCCCAGGACTCGGCTGGGGGCTGCTAACAGTGTTTCTCTCTTCCCTCCTAGAACACCAAGTCCGTGAAAATCTTAATGGACAGGTAAGTCCGTGTCCTTCCAGAGAAGGCAGTGGGGGGGATGCTGTTCCCTGTACTTGCTGTGTGCGCTGGGGCCGGGCACTTGTCCCCTCTGTGCCTCAGTTTCCCTCGGGGGCCCTTAGAGCGGTGCCAGGCGTGGGCAGCTCTAACAGGAGGTGGGGCGGGGTCTGCCTTGGGCTCAGCGCGGAGGTGATGCGGCCTGTGTCTCCCATCCTGGCCTTTCCTATGTGGGGTCAGGGCGGCCAGTTTCCCCCGGTGCCTTGGGGTGACCTTTGTGGGGGCACTTCCCAGCTCCCGGGGAGCTCAGAGCGGGGTGGGCTGAGGAGGAGAGCAGAGAGTGAGGGGAAGGGGGTGCTGATGGGATGGAGAGTGTCCCGCCTGGGACGTGCCGGCTCCACCCGTGCCTGCAATGGCCAGAGAGCCAGGGGCATCCAGCGTCCGGCCGACCCAGGAGGTGGGAAGGGGCTTGGAGAGCTTGAGTGACCCCCTGTTTCTCCCCGCATCTTGGTACCTGTCCCTGAAGGACTCAGAACTGCACGGGTGGGAGCCTTCCCCCCCCCAAGATCGGCCACCTCAACTCCAAGCTCTTCCTGAACGAGATCGCCAAGAAGGAGAAGCAGCTGAGGAAACTGCTGGAGGGTGAGTGGCTCCCCCTTGCCCCTGCGCGGGCAGCCCCCTCCCTCGCTGGGGCCCGATACAGGCCGGTTCTCCCGCTCCAGCACCTCCCTGATACCTCCCGTCGCTCCGGATTGGCGCCGGTGGCGCAGGGCTGGGGTTTGGCTCCGGGCTCTGGTCTGCCCAGGCTGGCCAAGCGGCTCTCCCTGCATCACCAGGGTGCTAAAGACGAGCCGCTTCCAGCGCTGAAACCTCAGACTTGACCGGGACCAGAAGTCTCGCGTTGAGCGTGGTGGAAGGGGGTCCGTGGAGGTTGGATGGCATCGGGGCTGGACATGCTGTCCGAGCGGCTGCTCCTCGCCCGTCGACCCCCGGTGCTGTCTGACCAGGCCGCGTGCGCGTCTCTCTCTTTCTCGCGCAGGTCCCTTCAGCACGCCGGTCCCCTTCCTGCAGAGCATCCCCATGTACCCCTGCAGCGTCAGCACCTCCGGCGCGGAGAAACGCAAGCACTCCACGGCCTTCCCGGAAGGCAGCTTCCTCGAGCCATCGTCCGGAGCGGTCGCGAGCCAGTACATGACCCAAGGGGCTTCGGCTGGCGAGGGCCAATCCGCACAACCCATGGTGCCTTGTAGCTCCACACAGCACATCGTCGGACTTCCCAGCGGCCCCCAGCCCGTCCACTCCGGGTCCGTGTTCAACCCCTCCCACTATCCCAATAGCACATCATCTCAGCAGTCTGTGCTCTCCCAGTACGGCGGGCGCAAAATCCTCGTCTGCTCTGTGGACAACTGTTACTGTTCCTCGGTGTCCAACCACAGCGGGCACCAGCCCTACCCTCGGTCGGGCCACTTCCCCTGGACAGTCTCCTCGCAGGAATACTCCCACCCGCTGCCCCCCGCCCCGACTGTCCCCCAGTCGCTCCCGGGACTTGCCGTGAGGGAGTGGATTGACGCCTCCCAGCAGCACGGACGCCAGGATTTCTATAGAGTCTACGGTCAGCCTTCTGCCAAACACTATGTCACCAGTTAACCATCGCACTGGCCACGGAGTCGGGCTCGTCATGCGTTCGGAGATCAACGCCCCGTTCTTTTATTTCTCGCTTTCTTTTTCTTTCATTCTCTCCTTCCTTTTGAAAATCCAATCTGGTCTCCTCCTCCCCGCTGCCGCCACCAGGACTGGTCTCTCGGCGCCTTTTGCTTTGGAACCGTCGTTTTTAATTTAATTTTGCAAACCTTCCTCCCCCCTTTTGCTGGGTCACGCCTGCTTCGTTTGGGGTTGCTAAGCCTAAAAAAAAAAAAAAAAAAAAAAAAAAAAAAAAAAAAAAAAAAAAAAGGACGACCAGATCCTTCGCCATTTCCACGTCTCTGAGTTCTCCACGGCTTGGTTCGCTTTTCTTTTCCTTTCCCTTTTTTTAAGAAAAAAAAGAAAATCTCTCGTATTCCATAAGAACCGATCCTTGTAGATTTGGGGTTTGGTTTTGTTTGTTTTTTTTTTTTAAAAAAGGCTGATTTTATTTTTTTTTTGGTGTTAAAAGGCCACTTCTCCTGCCTATGGGTGATTTTTTTTTTTCCCCTCTCTCTCTCCCCCGCTCTCTCCTTCCTTTTCTTTCGGAGATTTGTAAATACACAATGGCAGGAAATTTAATGCACAAGAGAATTAAAAAAAAGACAAAAAAGACAAAAAAAGGGAAAAGCAACTTGGGGGAAAAAAAAAACCCACACAAAAAAACAAAAAAACCCCACAAAACAAATAAATAAATTCTGTTTTAGTTTCCGGGAGGGTGGAGACCGCGCGGCCGCGGCGGGCACGCCCCTTCCTGCGTATCGCTGATGCAATTTCCTGTAACAAGCACTTTGTATAAAACAAAAAGTGGACTTCCTGCTCTGAGGCACAGGTATTTATTCTGTAACCAATTTTAGAACACGGGGGGGGGGGGGAAAAAAAAAAAAAAAAACAAAAAAACAAAAAAAAAAACCCAACAAAAATATTCAAATAAATGTGATCACTTAGTGCAAACGCTTCGCTGTGCTGCGGCTCTGGTCCCGGGTGCGGGCCCGCCAGGCGCTGGACTTGGTTGGAAAACGGACCGTTTTCACGTGTGCGTTTATATGTGCATATGTATTCGGGTGTCGGCAGCAGTCTGAGGAGCCCGGGTCAGCCGTGTTGGGCCCGTGGCCTCGGGAGATGTGGCCGGTGTCAATCGGGGCCCCTCCTGCCTGCCTGGAGCTAGTCGACGTCTCGGCTTTGCACGGCCCCAGCACGTGGGAGGATGCAGGAGAGGCTGGGAATAGTCGTGGTCGCTGCCACGGGCGAGAGCTTCCACCCCGGCCTGGCTGGTGGGCGCGTCGTCCTTGTGCCCCGAGTCCAGCCCTGCAGGGCCCAGGAGCAGAAAGGGAGGCCGAGAGCTGCTGGGGTGCAGTGCACAGCTGCCCATCGGTGCGGGTATGCGCACACGTGTGTGCACCGCCACAGAGCCGTGGCGCACCAGCAGGAGCACGGGGCAGAGCAAGACCCAGCAGCAGCGTGTGCATGATCCAGGTCGGCCGGCAGGACTGGGGCTTAGCTCTGCGGAGAGCTGCGAGCCCAGCTTACTCCGCTTGCTCCTGCTCGGCTCCATGGGCAGTGCTGGCGTCTCCCCGTGGCAGCCGGAGTCAGTGTTTTTCCTCTGGAGTTTCCCCGCACCCATGGCCCTGCTCCTCTCCCAGCACGGAGCCCCCCTCCCCACCAACACGTTGTGCATAGCTGTGGGTTTGCCACAATAGCCCTTTCCCCAAGTTGCACTGGGGGAAACTGAGGCATGGGGCATGAGTGGCCTACCCCGAGCTCTGACCGTTCTGGGGCCAGGCACGTGTTCCCTTTTGGTGTATATGGGCTGGCTGGGGCAGGGTGTTGGCTCTGCTGCTCCAGCCGGGTCTGGGCACTCAGAAGGCAAGAACCCCCAGTGCAAACCAGTCTGAGCAAGGGGGGGGGGAAATTCCTTCCTGCCCCAGTGCAGCATTAGTCTAAGCCTGAGTGTGGGGACAAGACCCCCCAGCTAGGACCCTGCGGGGTTGGTCCCAGCAGGAGCATTGGCACAGCCCCAGCCCCAGCCCCAGCCTGGGCTGCACCAGCACCTCAGGGGGAGGCCTGTTCCCCGCCTGGGATGTCCCGGGGTCCCAGGCTGGGCATCCTGTGGGGTTTGTTCTGTCAGTCCTTCGAGGTCCCGGCTGCCCCTGTGGGCCACCTCCCCTATGCTACTCCAGCAGGATTTCCCAGGGCAGCCCTCAGTGCATCCTGGCCATGTCCCTGCCCAGGGACCCCCCCTTGGCTACAGCCCCCACTCCTGTGGAAGCCCTGGGTCAGCCAGAGCCGGACATCTGTCTTCAGCCTTAATGACAGCGATCGTGGCCCAGCCACGCTCGCGCCTGGCCCCCAGGTTCCCCCACCACAGCCCTCAGCAGCACTGAGCTCCTCTCAGGATGGGGCCCCACCTCTGAGCAGGTACCTCCCTTGCTCACCCACCCACCCTCACTCCCACCACCTAGTGCCCAGCTGCAGGGCCCTTCCCAGCTGCATGTATCCAGCTTTGGCTCCGCCTCCTTTCCAAGCCCCACCTCCCAGGCATGCTCAGTGGAGTCTCAGCAGCTTTAAAGGGAGCTCAGTCTGCCTGCTATCTCTGCTGTGCAGGGGAAGGAAGATGCTTGGCCTGGACCATCGCTTGCACCTGGTGCCAAGGGAGCCTCCTTCGTCCGTGCTATGATTTACGGTACTGACCCAGGCCAAGCAGGGGGGCAGGCTGCTCTGCTAGCTCCAGCTTATCCCAGGCATGGCCGGTGTGTTGCACCAGTGCCCTGCGTGATACGGGCAGCCTCTGTGTGTGGCATGTGGCAGATCAGGGAGGGAACAGGGAGCACGGTGGCAGGTACAGCTGGGAGCAGAAAGCAGAGCAACGAATCAGGCCGGGAGAAAAAAAGGCAGAGCAGCATATGGGGCATGGAGCAGAAAGCAGAGCAGCAGATCAGACCAGGAGCACAAGGTCAGAAGTAGAAAGCAGATGGGCAGGGAGCAGAAGGCAGAGCAGCAGATGGGGCAGGGAGCCCAGGCGAAGAAAAAGCAAACAGAGTGGCAGACCTGGGGTGGAACAGGGGGCAGGGAGCAGAGAGCAGAGCAGCGGATCGGGCAGGGGAAGAGGATCAGAGCGGCGGTTGGCCTCCGCTGGGTCGCACACAACATCGCTGCTGACACTTGGGTTACCGAGCCTGTCGGCCCCAGGCAGGAGAAATGGGGATGCGGAGGGAAGGGGCTCCTCCCGGCCCCCGCTCCTGCGGCAAGCATGGCCCCGGGGCTGGTGTCCGCTCCAGTCTCGCTCGCGCATCGGGTCCACGCGTGACTCGTGGCCTGGGCTCCTGGTTACAGACCTCGGGATGTGGCTTAGCCAAGCTGGGGCCCCCGGGGGAAAGCTTGCCGCAGGGCATGCGGGTTTGCAGCTGCCCCGGGTTGGTGGTGGGGAGCTACTGAGACCCCCAAAGACCATCCCAGCCAGGTGACTGCAGGGAAACGCCTCCCTACCCCCCAGCCCAGCCCCAGGGAGGTGTTGCCCAGCCTCTCCTGGTGCCCAGGCTGCTCCCGGGGGGTGCCCTAGTGTAGCCGAGACTCCGCGCCTCTCTGGAGAGGTGCTCAGGGCACGTCCCTCTGGCTCTGCGCTGAGACCAGCTCGAGGTCCTCGGGTGAAGGGAAGCCTGACCGGCCCAGGCTGAGCCGGCCTGGGGGCAGGAAGGGATCTTCTCCGATGCCCAGATCGGTACGGACTTTGCAGGGTTGCGTTCCTCCTGGCTGTCTATGAACAACCTTTGCAGCGGCAGGGCATGGGGGCTGCGGCGTTCCCAGGGGCAGGGTCGGGAGCGATGTCTCGCGTGGTATCGGGGCTGACTGTACGGGGAATGTAGGCGCTGGGCTGATCCTGCCTCCTGGGCGAGACGGCTCCAGGATCCCAATTTACCCCTCCAACCTTCTCCCCAGGTGCGGCAGGCTGCGAGCCCGGCTGGGACGTGACCGGCTGAGGGGTAAGTCGGGGGCTTCCTCCCCATGCCTGCGACCCGTCGGCTCTCGGGGGCTTTCCCTCCGGTCTCCGAGTCTGGCGCCCTGCAGGGGACGGCATCCGTGCCACAGGCAAGTCTCTCGCGGAGGTTTGGGGCACGACCGGGGCAGGGTCCGTCTCTGCTCTCCCGGGTGACCCTGTCTGTACGGCCCGCTACGCTATCGGCATCTTTTGCAGTCGTATTATCCCATTGGCTCCAAGGAGCACCCTCCTCTCCCCAAAAGCTGCATCCCGATTCTGGAGGAGAAGGCATTTCCAGACAGTTTTGCTCGTTTCCATCTTGTGCTGAGCCTCCACCACGACTTCCCAGGGTGCCGGCGGGAAGGGTGAGACTCGGGGAAGCCTGACATCTAATTGATGGGGGGGCAGGGGGACGATGGGGGGCTAGAAACAGCCCGTCCATGA